AAATAATACAAGCCTGGGAAATTACAGCGGAACTTGCCGGTTGTGACATCGTAGTGGTTCTGTCCATTGTAGAAAATCTTGGTGAAGCGGATGGGGACATTGGGGACTGGGGCTCGGGCAGCCAGCCCAACGCTGAAGGCTGAGTGGTACCTATTGGCTGCTTCTCCTGGTTCTCCTTTCTTCCCTGGAAGTCCAGGAAACCCTCTGGGACCTTCAACTCCTGGAACACCCATCTCACCAGTATCACCCTTGGGACCCAGCAGACCTGTTATATAAGAGAATATCAGTAGCCACAGTGAGCTGGGCTCATTTCCAAATCTCATCCCAACAGAGCTCCTGTCACGTCAAGACTCGTGACCTCTCTAGCCATCATGGCAGAGCTAACTGGTGGAAGAAGATCCTTAAGGGAGAGACAACCCATGTCTTCTTTTCTGGTGTCCCTCATAGTGCCAGGCATATAATGGGTGCTCAGTTAACATTTGCTTACTGATAATTTCTCTAGCCAATATCCTAGGAAAATACCCAAAGAGGCATCTTTTATTATTCTCTGCACTCCTTCCATCTCCTGTCTTCTTCACATGCATTCTCATCTCATTTCCTCTGCTTCCTGTTTTCCTGTTCTTTCTACACCTCTCATTCATTCATTCATTGTCATTTTCCTACACAAATTACATTGTATTTACTTGTGTGGACATATTGTATTCCTTTGTATAATGTATGCTCTTTGAAGGCAGGGATGTTTCCTTCCTGTCTTTGTATCCCCAGGGCTAGACCCAATAAATGCTTGCTATTAAATTTACTAGTCCATTCCTTCAGTCAACAAACATTTGTTAAATACCTGCTGTGTACAGAGCACTTGGTACTAGGGATTCACGGTTTAGATAGGACAGGCTGATATTGTTTTCAGGTTGCCATGGTCCAGAATTCGTCCCCAAGTGGGTGGCCTGCTGATGGTGAGCATCTTGGTATTTAGCTAGTCTGGCCCTCGGAAAGCAGACACAGTCTGTTTCCAGGGCTATACTCAAAGCCTTTCCAGAATGGGGAGATCTACAGAAGTCATGGCAGGATGAAGTAAACGATAAACAAAGTGCTTAGAACGATATAAATGACAACAGCACTAAAAGATCCCTAAACTTAGGGCAATGTGCAGTCTCAGCTCCAGGGGATAGAGCGTACATCTAGAATTGGAAGGGGCCTCGCTGGCTGTCTAGTCCAACCACGGTCCTATGAGTAACGAGCATCAGAGGCAGAATTTGAATGCAGTTCCTTTAATTTCAGAGTCAGGGCTCTTTTTCCTAGGTTGCATCGCCTTCCAGGGAGGCTTAATAGAAGTGAGAGGTCTAGGGCTGAGGAATGTTTCAGACTGTCAGATGTGGTCTCTTCATTGACCATTTTTTTAAATGATTTTTCTTTGTTACAAGGGAAAGTTTAGTGGAGTAGAAGTGGTGAGATAATAGGAAATGACTAATGTTAAAAAAAAACCACATCCATTACAAAAAAAAAAAACCAAACAAACAACCCAGGTCATTGTGAAGAATGAGATAGAGAGTTCATTAGGATGAATAGAAGACTTACAAATAGCAGTAAGAGTCAGCTGAGAATATCCATTGCAAAATTATAGTGGGTGAATTCTGCTCAATTTTGTAGGTTCCAGAAAAGCTTAGCCTCTCGTGATCTTCCCTTGCCTTCCATTGCCTACGGTCTCTGCTATCCCAAATGGCATCGACTTGTGATCATTTTAACGCTTGCCTGTAATTGTTCCCTAATTGTTTTATGTGCCTTCTCTTTTCCTCCTAGCACCAGCACTGGGCTGGCTAGACAGCAAATACTCATTGCCTGGACTTGAGCAAAATGGAATTAGATCAATAGAATAGATTGGAAAAGAGACAAGAGTTAGAGAATGTGCATGATTGAGTACGGTCTATCCCCACTGCTAGGGGAAAAAAATGCAGAGTGATTGTCAAACTTGGGTCCTATTCCAGATTCTCCAGATTTTTCTATGTCCTTATCAGCAAACTTTTGACCCTGGAGATGCCTCCGACTTAGGATCCCCTCTTCTGCTTGGTGAGTCCCTGTCCAAGACCACCAGTTCATGATGTGCCCAAGACATCCATGCTCACACCTTGTCTTTCTATCCTTTTTTTCCAGCTTCCTTTTACATGATGTCCTCCATTATTAGAAGAGAAGCTCTTTGAAGTTAAGGATTGTCTTTTTTGCTTGTATTTGTATCCCTAGTACTCAGCCTAGGACCTGGAACATAATAAATGCTCTATCTAGCTCTCTAGCTATCTATCTACTAGGGGTTACATAAGAAAGACAAATTGTAGTACCTTTCCCTTTAAGATCTGTTGTTCAGTTGTGTCTGACTCTTCATGACACCATTTGGGTTTTTTTTGGCAAAGATATTGTAATGGTTTGCCACTTCCTTCTTCTGATCATTTTACCGGTGAGGAAACCAAGGCAAACAAGGTGACTGGCCCAGGGTCACACAGCTAAGAAGTGTCTGAAGTCAGATCTGAACTCAGAAAGATGACTCCAAGCCCAGTGCTTTGTGCACTATGGCACCCTAGCTTCCCCCCTTTAAGATTACCTGCCATCTACTCTTTGTACCTTGGAGGGATCTCTGTCATTAGAATGTAAGCTACTTGAAGTCACAAGCTGGCTCTCCCTACTTTGTATCTCCAGGTGGCAGCACAGTGCCCGGCACTCAGTAAGTGCACAATAAATGCTCATTGCCGAATGGAGGCTCCTTGAGGGGAGGGACTGTCGTTTTTGTCTTTATAGCTTAATAAATGTTGATTGGTTGATTCTCAGTCTAAACTATAGCTATATGATTTGCAACAGTGACCACAGTGATGTTCCACTTAACTTCATGCATGACCCTGATGCAGTCTCTCTAACCTGCTTTGTGGAACTGCTCAGAGGGATAGAATGAAACCCAGGAAGAGATATGGCCTTTGAACTCACCTGCATCTCCTTTCTCCCCTTTCTCACCATTGATGCCATCTCTCCCATCCCGGCCCGGAGACCCATTGTAGCCAGGGTGGCCTGGGGCACCCCCTATCCAGTTGATGCAAGCCCCCTTGGGTGGTAAAGATTGCAGCTCCTCTGTGGAGTGGGTGGGCCCCGAGCAGTGGCACAACACAGCCAGCAACAGCAAACCCAGCAGTGGACTGGTGCATGGCACCATCGTGAACCCTGGAATTCACATCCACAAACATCAGTGTTAAGAGGGAATGGGTGGCAACTAGGGGGCTGAGCTCATCAATGCAGGTGGCTTCTGAGGGTTTCTCTACAACCCCGTCAGCTCAGGAATGAGTCCAAATTCTTCCCATGCACCCGCCCAGCCCAGATCTCTATCTTCCTTAGTAAGCCTTCCCAGTTGACCCTGAAACCTTTCTGATCTCCTACAATTTGGGCCAACCAAACCACGCAATGTACCACTGGACCATACGCTGTCACTTATTATTCTCTATTGTCTCAAGTACCTGAGTCTTGTTTTCGAAACGAGACTAAATGAACTGTGAGCTTGTACGCTTTCATCTCCTGCTATGCCCGTAACACTTAAGCTCAGGAATGTCTTGTTAACTCCACTTATTAAGAAGCCATCATGTATAAAGATCTTATTTTTCAAATATATAGAAAACTGTGTCAAATTTACAGAAATAAGAGCCATTCCTCAACTGATAAATGGTCAAAGGATACAAACAGGCACTTTTCAGACAGTAATCAAAGCTATTTATAGTCATATGAAAAAATGCTCTAAATCACTATTAATTAGAGAAATGCAAATTAAAACAACTCTGAGCTACCACTACATACCTATCAGATTGGCTAATATGACAGAAAAAGAAAATGACAAATATTGGAGGGAAGGTGGAAAAATAGGGACACTAATGCACTGTTTGTGGAGTTGTAAACTAATCTGCCCATTCTGGAGAGCAATTTGGAACTATGCCCAAAGGCTACAAAACCATGCATGCCCTTTGACCAAGCAATACCACTACTAGGCTTGTATTCCGAAGAGATAAAAAAACAAAAAGGAAAAGGACCTATATGTACAAAAATGTTTATAGCAGCTCTTTCAGAGGGGGCAAAGAATTGAAAATTGAGGGGATGTCCATCAATTGTGGAATGGTTAAACAAGTTATGGTATGTGATTGTGACGGAATGCCATTGTGCTATAAGAAATGACGAGCCAGGTGCTCTCGGAAAAACCTGGAAACACTTATAAGAACTGATGCAAAGTGAAATAAGCATAAGCAGGTGAACATTGCACTCAGTAATAGCAATGTTATATGAAGATTTAATAACTTAGCTGTTCTCAGCAGTACAATGACCCAAGACAATTCTTGGATGACGAAAGGTACCATCCATCTCCAGAGAAAGAACTGAAAGAGCCTGAGCGCAGATCAAAGGGACTTTTTCTTTACTTTACTTTCCCTAGGTTTTTTGGCCTGTTTTCTTTCACAGATGACTTGTATGAAATGTGTTTTGTATAACTGCACATATGTACAACCTAGGTCAAGTTGCTTGCCTTCTCAATGAAGTGGTGAGAGGAAGAAGGGAGGGAAAGAATTTGGAACTCAAAATTTGAAAAAAGAATGTTAAAAAGTGTTAAAGAATGTTAAAAAAAAAGTCTTACGTGTAACTGAGGAAAAATAAAATATTAAATTTTAAAAAAGAAATTATCATGTATCAGTGTATCATGGATCCCTAGGGCACTACACTGGAGACTTCCTGCCATGTTGATATTGAACCATTAAGAGCTACTCTTTGAATTGGCCATCCAATCAGTTCTGAAGCCATCTGAATGTATTATCATCTACCCTCCATCTCTCTATCTTCTGTGCAAGAACAGGATGAGGTTTTTATTGAAAGCTTTGCTAAAATCTAGGTCAACTATACCCACAGCGTTTACCTCATCCACTACTTTAGCCATACTGTGAAAAAAATGTGATTATTCTAGCACAGCCTATTCTTGATGAAATAATGCTGGCTTCCTTAAATCACCAATTCCCTGTCTAGATGTTCAGAGCATGTTTCTAATGGTTCATTCTAGAATTTCCCCAAAAACCAAAGCTGAATTAATTCATCTCTACTTTGCTGACTGTTCTCTTTCCTTTGTTAGACATTAGGATGATATTTGCCCTTCTCCTGTCTTGTGGGACCTCTACTCTTCTCCGTGACCTTTCAGATTACTGACGGTGCTTCAGCAATCCCACTTTCCCAGCTCCCAGGTTCTTTCAGGACCATACAGGGCAGTCAATGAGGGCAGGGAGGTGCTCATGACCTTCTCCTTCCTTGTCTTAGATGCTGACCCTGGTGGTTGATTTTGTTTGTCATTTTGAGTTAAAGGGAATTCTTTTTTGCAGAAAAATAGAAGTGAGCAGCACTGCTTTGTCTCTATGGTTAGACCATCTTCCCATCCACCCTGAACAAAGGGCTTTTCTTTTCTTTGATTCTCCTTTTTTGCCCATTATAGATTAGAGAAACCCAAAACAGGTTAGTTTTTTTGTTTATTTGTTTTGGTTTGTTTTTCCCTCACTGGCTTCAGATTGAGCTGGAGGCTAGAACCAAGACCCTGCTCTTCTCCTGGGTCTGATTCACATTGCTGCTGCAGCTGCTTCTGAATTTGCTCCTGTATTCATCAGCCTGCCCCTTGCCTTGTCATCCTGGATCTGTGACCTATAATTATGTGGTAAGTGATAAGATTACTAGTTCATATCTGTTCCCATTGAGATGCCCTAGCCTGGGTATGGGCCTGGAACCTCTTCTTGCCCTCGTGTATAGCTTCTCCCTACACTGGAATGCTCTCTATGTAGCCCTCTTCTGTCCAGACCCTGTCCGCAGCATCCACAGACCTCTCCTGTCTCTGGTATGTCCAGTTGGTCTGGAGAAATAACTCCCTGTGATTTTTTCTTGCACTCCCCTTCAGGATTCAGTCTGGTGTCTTATCTAGATGTGTTTGGAGGAGTTTTGGAGGGGACCTTGCTGTACTGCATTTTTGCACCCCACCATCTTGCTTCTCTGCCTTTCCTTTGAGGGAAAACTAACCTAGTTAATGAGGGATAAGGACTCAGGATATTGCTTTTCCCAACTTTCCCTTCAACAAATCCGTGGCACTCTTTCCCAGAAAAATATTCACCTTCAGTGGGAAGGGCAAAGAGGCACAGGTCACCTATGCATATAGTGCATGTGGTCAGCATACATATGTGGAGGGGCAGCACCATGCTGCTCACACAGTAGGGCTGCCACTGTTTTCCAGTAATTTCATTTTTCTGCTCTGCTGACTCAGCTTTCTGCTGGGTAGGGCATCTCTATTGTTCCTCACCGTTCTTTCTGCTGGACTGTTTTTGCTGCCTCCATCTTCTGGGCCCCAGCTCTAGCCTGCATCTCAAATGTTACCTGTTCCCCATAACAGGAGGAGTTGACTCTGCTGTCTCTCACTTTTGCTGATAATCCAGAGGCTAAGCTTCAGCTCTGAGAAAGGCAAACTCTTGACCGTTGAGGACTGTGTGCTCTATAACACAGCCAGAGGACTGAGGGAAAGCAGTCTTCTTGCCATGAGGAGACAGGTCCATCAGCAGCAGACTCTTAACCCGGTAGGCTGAGTTATTTTAGAGTGCAAAGCAGACAGGCAGCTAAGTAGAGCTTAAAATGTAGTCTGTCTTTTGTATTCACTTCCTCCTGCTAGCAGGATCAGTATCCTAACCTAAGCCTCTAACTGATTTAGGCTTAGAAAGTACCTGGATTTCAGAAAAACCTGGAAGTTCTTGTATGAACTGATGCTGAGTGAAGTGAGCATTGTACACAGTAACAGCAACATTGTGTGGTAATCAGCTATGAATGACTCAGCTCTTCTCAGCAATGCAATGATCTAAGACAACTCCAAAAGACTCATGATAGAAAGTTCTTCCACATCCAGAGAAAGAGCTATGGAGTCTTAATGAAGCAGACTATTTCCCCTTTTTTGTCTTTTCTTTCTCATATTTCTTCTTTTTGTTCTGATTCTTCTTTCACAATGTAACTAATGTGAGAATATGTTTGACATGATTGTACATGTAGAGCCTATATCAGATTGCCTGTCATCTTGGGGAGGGGAGAGGGAAGAGAGAGAGAGAGAAAAATATTTGGAACTCAAAATTTTATAAAAATGAATGTTGAAAACTATCTTTACATGTATTTAGAAAAAAAAATACTATTAAGTGAAAAAAGTTCCCTTTAACACAGTCAGTTTCTAAATGCCAACCTGCATTCCTCTTCCAAGTCTCTGTGTTTTAGTTGGAGGGAGGGGAAAAAAAGGTCGGGAAAGTCAGGTTCTTCTAAACCACCATGGTTTCCCTCAGTTCAAGATCGCCTGATTCTCTCACATATATGAATTAATGGAGGTTGGGGGGAGGTGAAAAGAAAGAGTTGCGGCTGTAAATCTGAAGATTCTCCAGCCCAGCTCAGAAGCTTTTTCTGAATTCTTGCCTTTTGCACACAAGTGTGGCTGGAGGTGAACCTCCAAGACTAGGAGTTGCCCAGGTGTTCCAGGTCAAAATCCAATGTCGTTTTCCCTCTACCATTCTATCTGCACAGTTGTCCCCTCATTATTATTAAGCCAGGCATAAAGTAGGAAGATAAATAGAAAATTATCACACATTAGTTAGAGAGCTGGAAAGGGCCCTCTATTTTACAGATGAGGAAACTGAGACCTAGAGAGGTTAAAGGACTTGTCCAAAGCCACACAGGTAGTATGTGTGTGTGTGAATGGGTGTGTGTGCGTGTATATGTATGTGTGAGTATGTGTACGCATGCATGTGCGCTCACATGTATATGGTATGTGTGCGTGTGCATGTGTGTGAGTGTGTGTATGTGAATATGTGTATGTGTGCGTGTGTGTCTATGAGTATGTGTGTGCACATGGGCATGCAGGGGTGGGATTGAGGTCCTCTGATTCCACATTCAATGGCCTTTCCTTCCCTAGTGTTTCCTCTCTGGAAGAATCCAGGTCTCTTCCCTTACCTCCTGCACTCCACCTTTTGAAAGAATGGTATCTTTTGTTTTCACATTGCCTGAATTTCCCCCTAAATCTTGCCCTTATTCTTCACCCTATTTCTTGGACACAGCACATGGCCCCTTCTTTTAAGTGTGTGTGTATGTGTGTGTGTGTGTGTGAGTGTGTGTATTTTATTTTGTTTTTAAGGATTTTGCTGCTAATCACTCCAGGGAACCTCATATCACATCCTAAAGCAACATAGATTGAAAATTGCAAGGTGCCTCACAATTTAGCATTCCTAGGGTTGTGTCCCAGGCTTTAATCCCCCCTAGCTTTGCCCTTCTCAGGCTTGCCTGGGCTCCTCCTTCCAAATACTATTCTCAGAGTCACCTCTAGTCCAGGGTGTTTATCCCTGTTCTCCCTCACCTGGATGCTTTGGGAGTTTCCTTAGAAACACTCCCTCCTGCCCCAGTACTAGTAAGTATCATCCAAATGTTCTTTCTCCCCCAACCTCAGGGCTATTTACAGCTGGCCCCAGAGAGGCTTGAGGTATAATTTAGACCCAACCAGCCAGAGGTAGGATGAATTTACATCTCAGAGAAACTTCTAGGCTAGAGATTTCTAAATTAAACATCCCTTTACTTCAGGTGAGAAGGTCATCTGAAGTCATTTTTCCATCGCCCCACTCTTTTTTTAAGATGAGGAAGCTGGGGCCCAGAAAAGTTAGGCACCTTGCCCAAGGTCACACAGCAAAGCTGGGACCAGACGCCCCGCCCAGTGTTCTTTCCCCTTCGCCTTGATGCTTTGTGCTTCAGAAACTTCCGTTTTCCTGAAATCATCCAAAGCATTGCTTAGCTCGAATTCCTATTTAATCATTTTCTGGAATGGAAACCTGTACAAATAGATGTTCTGATCAAATGATAATAGTTTACCTTGCCATGGTGAGTGTGGATTTCATTTTCCCTCTAGCAGCTGGATTTGCCTCACAATTAGATTCATTATTAAAATATTGCATTGAGATATAGCTATATGTATACATATATGTGTATATAAATAGGTGTATATATACACGTATACACACACGTATGAATATGCATGTATGGATACACACACCACATACACACATATATACATACATATATAAAATTTTTTATGAGTGGGTTTCCCTATCTTCATTAGGCTAGAAGTTCAAAGGTAACTTATGGACCCTCGTGGGAGCCTTGACTTGTGTTTGCTCTGCTTTCTACCTAGGCTGGTTCTCCCCTCCTTTGGCAAGCTGCTAGCCCTCCTGCCCTAGGAGTCTACCATAACGATGCAGGTCTTTGTGTTTGGATTGGCCCACCGCAGCTCAGAGCACTTGTGCTCAAGAGATCTCCCAGCTCTGCTGGTGGATGGCATTGCAGGTATGCACCACTGTGTTTGGTTGATTTCTATTTTCACATCAGTTCCTGGGCTCATAGTTCTGGAGCTGGAAGAGCCCTCAGAGGCCCTCTACTTAACCCCCCCCCCCTTATTTATAGATGAGGAAACTGAGGCCAAGATAGGTGAAGTCCAAAGTAGTGATACCTCAATAGGTCCCAAGTTTTGCTCCAAGTTCAGCAGAAGGCTAAGTCTTCCTTTCACTTTGCCTGCTGCTGGGGATTGTGTCATGGTGGTCTGGTGCAGCCTACAGACTACATCGCAGAATCATTAATTCATACTAGAGGTTAATGCTAAATTTCAGTTAGAGGTTAATGAAAATAATGATATTTCCTTTTCACGTTCACAGACCCCCCTCTCCCCTCCCCTGAAATCTATCTGCAGACGCCAGGTTAATAACCCTTTCCCTGTAGTCTCCCATATTATCATTATTCAGTTCTAGCAAAAGCTGTGGGTTCCAGAAGCCCAGAAATAATCTTACCACCAGTTTGCTTTTGTGCCCGGCTTCCTGGCTGGTCAGTTCAGATGTGTGGAGGAAAGAAGAATGGGGACACTAACCTGAGACCTCTAGAGGTGTACGACCCTGTCTTTTATACTCCTTTCCCACTGGTCCATACATTTGGGACAAGGATCACCAATTAATTCCCATCAGCATCTGGGTAGCTGTCTCAAACCAAGGCCCTTGGGAATAATCCTGGTGTAATGTTCTGAGAAAGAGATGGTGTTGATTTAGCAAGGTTTAATCCAGCTGAAGAGTCCTTCTTGGAATTCCTGTTGGGATTTTGGTAGGGCTTCCAGACCTTTAGGTTCAGTTGGCGGGGGTTACAACTTACAACAGGGCCATATGGTTGAGCAAGAAGAAAACATCTTTTTGGTGTTTAAGGGTGAATTTTTATTTTAAGTGCTCTTTCCAAAAGAACCTCAAAGCAGTCATTGCACTCTGAGTGTTGCCTACAGAAACCTGTTGACCTACAAATAGGCTTCCATGAGCTTAAAGGGTAGGTAAAAACCCTAGAGTTTTTCAGGTTTAAAGGAACCTGGGAGTGAGGGAAGAAAGATGACACATATGGACTTCAGCTTCCTCCTTATGCTTCATCAAATCATGATTTCATTATAATACGATGTTTCGGAGAAATTCACAATTTATCCAGTCTTTTCCTGCTCACCCTCGTGTGCCTAGCTCTCTTCTCATTTTTTGTTTGGAGTAGACAGGAGGGGACATAATCCCAGGTCTTGAGAAATTTCCCATCTTTTCTTTGTGGTGAGGCAAGGTTCTAACAGGCAGGCAGCTGAGAGGGTAACTATTGGGAAATAAAATGGTTTTTAAATTTTAAAAAAATTTATCGTGAACTTGGCAAGCATTCAACAAACACAAACATTTCAATATATGAAGAAAAAGAGAACTATGTTTCTATCATTTAGTTTGTTTTTTTAACAAGTACATATATATATTATACATATAATTTAACACAGTAATAACCAAATTCTTCTATTTGTCTGTGTTCCCTTCTACACTCATTTTTGTTTTCTTCTGTCCATTTAAAAATATAGTATTGCTGTTCTTTTGGTGTATCTATCACTACCCCCTATCTTACATCCTCCTATCCCCTGAAGACAAGATTATCCAAAGAACTCACCGGCTGTGCCCTTTAAGTAGGAACAATGTGGATTACGTCCTTTCTCCAAGAAGCATGCTGATGCAGGAAACCCCTTTCCCTCTCCAGAAGATATCATCGCCAAAGTCTCAAACTTGGGAACCCTCAGATTTGGAAATTCTGAGGTTTGGTATCATTTGTGAGGCTCTGCCCAGGAAATTTCTTTCTTTTGTCTAAATTTTGGATCATTCTCCCTAGGGAATTTGGCATCTTTCTTCCTTCGCACAATTAACCTTGTCCATGAACTACTCCCTCAGACTGAATGGGAAATCTTTCTCCACTACGTGCGTTCTGAGGAAATCTAACTCGAAATGCTACCGTTGATTGATCTGGGAAAGTTCACTCTCAGGACTTCTGCTTTTGAGCCACGTGTAAGCACGTGCTTATTTCTGCCTTGAGTTTCTTTAGTTTTGGGGTGGTCCCCCCCTGCACTGTTACAAAGAGATATTTACTGAGAAGGCATAGCGTGAACAGAAGTACATTTTTCCCCCGATACCCAGGGTCACATTCTCCTTTATTCCACCTAGTTCTCTAGAGTCAAGGTGGGCTCAAACTTAACAGACCTTCTATGAACGTTTGTCTGATAAGTTCACTTCCGTGTTCTACAGTGTGGGCTGTGCTGGGAATTTGTCTGTTGGGAAATTCTTTTGCTCTCTCCACCTGTCAAGGCTCCCAAGCCCATAGCTATCTCCACTATTCTGAAACCTAAAAGTCAGGTAATAAAAGAGGCCTGCATTCATGGTCATGTGTGGGTCAAGGGGTTAAATTGGGGCCCGAGGCTTCTTTTCCCACTCAGCAGTTTACAATTTGCTTTTCCTCAGTCACAGTTAGGGAGGGAAGAAGAAATAAGCAGGTGGGGAAGGGTCTTTTGTAAGCATTCTCAGTTCCTGCACGATAGCCTATCGAAAGGCTCCTTTTCTTCACAAATCAAATAGACCCAAGACAATACTTGTGCGGGCTCACAAGTGGACATAGTGATTGCATCAGGAGAACATGCTGAGCAAGCCATGTGCTTCTGCTGCCAGGGTAAGACAATTCCAAAGGGCTTGTAACGACAAATGTTACCCACCTTCAGAGAAAGAACTGTTGGAGTCTGAAAGAAGATTAAAGTATACGTCTTCTTTACTTTATTTCTCTTGGTCTTTTTTTTGTCTGTGTTTTCTTTTGCAATGGGGCTAATACGGATATAAGTTTTGCATAACTTCATACGTATAACCTATATCAAATTGCTTGCCTTCTCAAGGTGGCAGGAGGGGAGGGATGGAGGAAGAGAATTTGGAACTCAAAATTTTTAAAAGTGAATGTTTAAGACTGCATATGTATAACCTACATCAGATTACTTACCATCTCAGGGAGGGGGGAGGGAAGGGAAGTAAGAATAGAAATTGGAACCCAAAACCTAAAAAAAAATCATGTTAAAAATTGTTTTTAAGGGGAAGCTAGATGGTGCAGTGAATAGAGCTCTGGCCTTGGAGTCAGGAGGACCTGAGTTCAAATCCAACCTCAGACACTTAACACTTACTAGCTGTGTGACCCTGGGCAAGTCACTTAACCCCAATTGCCTCACCAAAAAAAGCAAAAAAAAATTATTTTTACATGTAATTGGAGGAAAATAAAATATTATTTTAAAATGAATATTAAAAAGTATTTTTATGTGCAATTGAGAAAAAGAAAAAAGAAAGCTCTATGAGCCTGTGACACTGAGGTCTCAGCTAGAAGTTCCTCCCTCCCACTTCAGAGGAGGGGGATTCATCTGCTGTTCTCCATTGCTCCAGTCACTTGCTGGCCAGTCCATCAATCAGCATTGGGATGGCTGCCCATTAGTGTTGGGCATGATGCAGATTGATTGGCAGCTGAGCCAGCCAGAGGGACTTCTGGAGCTCCCATGGTGCTCCTCTGTGTATCTTGGCTCATCACCAGGCTCTAGAAATGGGATCTTTGGTGCAATAGAAAGAGAATGGCCTGCATTCAAATCCTGCCTCTGTCATTTCACATATCTAGGTCTCAGTTTCCTCATCTGTGAAATGAGTGGGTTAAACTACATGACCACCAAGGTCCTTTCTAGCTCTAAACTTGTGATCCTATGATATTATGAAAGTGTTTATAAGTGGGCAGCTAAGTGGTGCCATAGTGCATAGAACACTAGGTCTAGAGTCAGGAAGATTCATCTCCCTGAGTTCAAATCTGACCTCAGACACTTACTAGTTGTGTGTCCCTGGGCAAGTCACTTCACCCTGTTTGCCTCAGTTTCCTCAGCTATAATATAAGCTGGAGAAGAAAATGGCAAAATATTCTAGTATCTTTGCCAAGAAAACCTCAAATGGGGTCACGGAGAGTCAGACCTGAGAGAAACAGCTGAATAAGAATAACGCAATTTGTAAGTGGTGGCTTTATGCAGCTGCTTAAATGGTGTGAGATAAGGAACATGGGAAAGAAAGCTCGTGCTCCTGAATTATCTCTATGGCTCATCATGGTGTCTAACATTCTTCCACGAAAGCTCTTTCTTTCTGGTTAGAGATGCCCACAGACTAAATGCAAATGCCTCTGGGAGAAGCAAAAAGAAGAAGAAGAAGAAAAACAAACAAACCTCATAAGTCATTTACATCTTATGAATGTATTTCACAGTTATCTCCAAGGGGATAGGTGGCTGAGAGTAGGGTCCTGTAGGAATGAGACCCAAGCCAGGTGCACAGGGTAGGGGGAGTAGAAGACAAGGATCACCAGCAGAGGTAGAGGTCCTAGCAGTAAAAGTAGTATTGAATGGGGGATGGGTTGGTTCTAAAAGCAAACTTCCTTCTCCAACATTCTGAAGCCCACAAGCTGACCATCTTCTCCCAGTGGTAAGTGAGGTAGGGCCGGGGTTCTGAGAGATCTTTCTGGACCTGGGCAGAATTTTTGTTGGCAAAGATTGTATTTACTGTTCTTGGAGGAATGTGTTTGCACATTCTAGTCTTTCCTGTTTTGCAAGACGAGATGACTTTAGCCCCTAAATCCACATCAGGGTTGAGCTGGGAGCCCAGATGACAGCCAGCGGTCTTGCATCAGGGTGCTATTCTGCAATGCTGAGGGGAAAGGGTTTGTACCACAAAGTTCATCATATGGAAATAGTCACATCTCTAGAGGACAGTTTTAAAGACCATGATGGGAAAAAAGTTATCTAAGACTGACTCAAGGCTTTTTCTTTTTCCTCTCATAATTATCTGCTCCAAAGAGGAAATACTAAATCTAGGGGAAAAGAAATAAAAGTTGTCATTTCCTTCAAGGTAGCATGCCTGCAATTCAAGTAGCTGTCATTATGTATCTAGGTTATGATCTATATGACTGGGATTCTCTAAATGTGATTTTAGGTGGATCATTTTTTCTGCTCAATTTTGCTTTTATATGAAAAAAAAAACTAGACCTTGTTACTAAGACAAGAAGAAAATTATTGCCAATTGCTAAATTAAGAGAAATTATGTACAGGCCGTGTGATGCAATGGGTATAGAGCTGTCCTTGCAGTCCTGAGTCCAGTCTGACACCTACTAGCTGTGTGTCCCTGGATAAACCATTTAACTGCTCAGTGGTCCAGTCAATTCTCTAAGAAATAGATTGCAGAATAGTTGTGGATCAGTGCTGGTGTTTCCTCATTTCAGTCTCGTCCAACTCCTCATTTGGGCTTTTCTTGGTAGAGATACTGGAGTGGTTTGCCATCTCCTTCTCCATCTCATTTGATAGATGAGGAAACTGAGGCAAGCAGGGTTAAATGACTTGCCCAGGGTCACACAGCTAGTAAGTGTCTGAGGTCAGATTTGAACTCAGGAAGATGAATTTTCCTGCCTTCAGGCCTGACACTGTATCCACTGGGCAATCTAGCTGCCCATCCCTACACCAATGAAATTACAAGTCTGGAACAGAGCAAATCATCAGATAAAGGATGCGGTACACAGTGCAGAACAAGAGTTAAGGAAATACAAACACCTGGGCACAATAATAATGGGCCGTCGAAGCTCCCAGAATGCGACCACATGCTCTGGCACAGTCATGAGTAAAAGGACCTAATGCTTAGCACACTTGTGCATGCCTGGGGCATGCTGTATGCATGCTTTGGTTAAATTTTTTTCAATAATCCTTAATTGTTATGAGTTAGTATTTACCCTGAAAAAATCCGTCCTTTTCTTTATACTTCTAGACAATTGAATTGAATTGGAAAACTTCCCAGATGTGTGCATAATGTTTTGGGGGATTTAAAACAGCTGTGTATACCTTAAAACATTAAGTTATTATTTAAATGTAGTTCCACCCCCAAGCAGCCTTAGGGGACGGCTGTCCCCTAAAGGACAGCCCTGTTACTCTGTGTACCTGTAGTGGATATAAATGGATGGTCTGAGAGACTTTTGGAAGGGAGAAACAGAAAAAGGAGAGAGATGGGGAAAGAGGAGGTAAAGTATTGATGAGGTTTCAGGTATGAATTAGACTAAATATTGTCTGAGATTCTTAGAAATTCTCTGACAAATAATGACTCATCTATGTAGTGCTTGAATCAATCAATCAACCAATTAACAAGGATTTTTTAAATCTTTACCGTATGCCAGCCACTGTTAGGCCTTGGGGAGTCAAAAAAAAAAAAAGAATCAGTCCTTGTCCTCAAGGAACAGACATTCTATCATGGAGACAACATATATGAATGTAACTATATACAAATTTAAGCACTTAATGATGCATACAAGATAAATATGAGGCAACTTAGGAGAGGAAGAAGCTAAAGGTTTATACAGGAGAAGACAGAGCTCCAATGAGTGGTCAAGGGAATGGAGAGCTGCTCCCTTGCCTAGAATGCAGCCAGGAGGATAGGAAGATGTTCTGGCTTGTTTCTTACATGGCCTCGCGAATAATCACTGTTGGCTCTCAGAGGTCTCTCTGGCACCTCCCAACCCTGATCACCATTAAGCAACAGTAGCCCACCAAAGTCTCAGAAGGAGGGGCCAGGAAGCAGTTATCAGGAGACTGCTGACTTTGCTCGCCCCCATCTGCCTCCACCGAATGCTCAATCAACAAACACTTATTAGTATCAATAATATCATGTATTAATATCAATAATTAACAATAAACACTTATTAAGCTCCCACTATGTGCCACGCACTGTGTTAAGTGTTGAGTATAGAAAAAAAAGAGGAAAGGGACAGTCCCAGAAAGCCAGGTTCAAAAATGTCACCATATTGGTGAACTCTCAGCTAATGTCTGCTTAAGACTCATTTTTTTAATAGCTCTATACAGGTGATGAGTCCAGAGATTCTGGCATAGACAGGTAAATACAAAATATATGCAAATAAATACAAAGTAATTTCCTGGGGGGAAGGAAAGAGAAAGTACTGGCAATCAGGAGTGTGAGTAAAGGTCTTTGGTAGGCCAGGGGATGATGCCTGAGATAAGTCTTGAAGGGAGCTGAGGGTGCCATGGCAGAGGTGAGGAAGGACAACATTCCAGGAGTGAGTGACAGTTTGGGCAGAGTCACAGAGCTGTAAGGTGGAATGTTGTGTGTTGGGAAGAGCTGGAATGTAGAGTGTCAGAAGGTGGGGGAGTAATGTGTAAGTCTGAAAAGACACCTTGGAGTCAGATTGGGAAAGGCTTTCTGTGCTGGATAGAAGACTTAGGATTCGAGCCCAGAGGCCTAGGGGGCTGCTGAAGGTTCTTCAACATGGGAAGGATGTGGCCAGACCTTTAGAAATATCATTTCGAGAGCTGTGTAGGGGATTGATTGGGAAAGGGAGAGACTGAAGTAGACTTCTAAGTGTAAAGTCCCTTCCATCTCAGAATCTATGATTCTATGAATCTAGGAAAATCATAGCCACTAATCTTTGCCATTTTGTGCTGAGTGTGTGCGTAGGGGAAGGGGGCCTGAGAAAGGGAGGGAGGGGCACGGCCCAGGCTCCTTGAAAAGAGCCTAGAATAGTGATCTAGATCTTTGACTTTTACTCAGAGACTTGCAATGAGCTGGAAAGAGCTGGTTTTTAATCTTCTTTGGAGGCTTTCAAGGAGCCAGTCCTTGGAGCCAGCACTGGCTCTGGAGTCAGAAGGGTTGGCC